CATACATACATACATACATACATACATACATACATACATACATACATACATACATACACACACACACACACACACACACACACATACATACATACATACATACATACATACATACATACATACATACATACATACATACATACATACATACATACATACATACATACATACATACATACATACAAACACACACACACACACACACACATACATACATACATACATACATACATACATACATACATACATACATACATACATACATACATACATACATACACACACACATACACACATACATACATACATACATACATACATACATACATACATACATACATACATACATACATACATACATACATACACACACACACACACACATACATACATACATACATACATACATACATACACACACACATACATACATACATACATACATACATACATACATACATACACACACACACACATACATACATACATACATACATACATACATACATACATACATACACATACATAGATACATACATAGATACATACATGCATACATACATACATACATACATACATACATACATACATACATACATACATACATACATACATACATACATACATACATACGCACGCACGCACGCACACACACACACATACACACATACATACATACATACATACATACATACATACATACATACATACACACACACACACATACATACATACATACATACATACATACATACATACATACATACATACATACATACATACATACAGTTGCTGATAGCGTTCAGACTGTCCTCGCAATATTATACACGTTAATCCTGATAATTTTAGTATTGTGTTGCCTGCCCCCCTCTCATCATCATCATCATCATCATCATCATCATCATCATCATCATCATCATCATAATAATAAATAGTACATCTCTCATAATTGTATCATATTTTCTTCTTCATTATTATTCTCTGCTATGAAAAACCTCAGTAAAAACACCAAATGAGCTTACCAGTCTTCTTGCGATTCTGAAGCGATAAAAAATAACGCGTGAGAAAAGTCGAATTGAGCGGAGGGTTGTGGTCACGCTTGCACTCCTTGTGCTAGACCATAGTACCGATAAGGTGATTTCATGTTGTCCGAGATTTAGTCGTACCTTAATGATTAAACGTCAGAGTCTTGTGGTACTATCCTTAGGAATCGTTTATATCACTTATATACAGTGCTTGTGTAGTATCGTATGCAACCGTTCATATCACATCTATACAACGTCTTTGTACTATCCTAAGCAACCGTTCATATCACATTTATATAATGTTTTTGTATTGTCCTTAGTAACCGTTCATATCGTTTCTATGCACTGCATTTTGTACTATCCTTAGTAACTTTTCATATGACATTTATACATGCTTTTGTATTACCTGTAGTAACATTTAATATCACAGTTATATACATCACCTTCACGTGAACAAATAAATATAAAAAAACAAATAAAATAAATAAATAGTTAATGATTCGTTGAATATTAAAATCATAACATAAACTTGGATATATTGGCCAGAAAAGAAATGTCAGTAATATAAATATATCATATACGTTTGATTTTCAAAAGTTAAATGTATGTAAATGAAAGGACAATATACTTTATTAAGTACAGATAAACAGGAATCTGAAGTTCTTCAGTGTGTTATCTCTAACGTACTGTAAAGCATTGTTTGCCAAGCATGATAAGGCTCCACAAAGTACTCACTTTTCACACTTTTAGGCTAAACTATCCAAATTTTAGAAAAAGATGAAGCAAATGGAAATTATATTATATCAAAATATAGGCACGTAGATTTGGGGTATATTTATGATGAGCAACCCTACACAAAAATATACGTAAATTTGACGTAAAATTTAAACTGCTTTTACATTTTCAGTGATGTAGAGAAATTGATAGTGATTCTAAGGTGATATACTTCTCAAAATTTTGTAATTCTATGAGTACAAAGCTAGCAGGCATATCCTATTAATCAGCCAATCAGTTTCACTAACCCAACAGCAGAAACAATGAAAAAGAAACAAATAACATCAGTTTTTTTTTCCAACATAATATTTGGAAGTACATTATTCTTGTTTGCATATCATCTTTACACAAAATATGATTATGTGTCATATCAAGTAGCGTGTCAATAAACACTTCTACACACCCCGCAAAATGTATTTATGTGGTCTCCTCTCAGCAGAGGCTCAAGCAAAATTATTGTCGGCGGGGGGGGGAGGACATGTAGCTATTAGCTATTAAGTTTTTACGGATGTAGGCCAAAACACGTTAATAAGTGAAAGTAAGGTTGTGGGAAGTACCTCTAACCTTTGCCAATATGTGCGGGCGTCCATTATTCCCAGTAAAAGAAAAGTTGTTTAATAGCAATTTTGCTACCCCTTCCCGCAGCATACTATGTAATGTAAGCTTAAACGTTGTAATAATAGAAGAGCACGATAATCTTTTTTTTTTAAAATTAGTTAATGAAAGAAAATATATGTCTGTCTTTCTCATTTCGTTTACCTAGAGGTTGCTACATTTGCTGCATCCTATAAAAGCCTTTTATTTGTATCTTATCTTCACCTTTAGAAATGTTGAGACACCAGTAAATAGGAATGTTAACACTGAACCAGTCAAGCAATGTCCAGACTTGGTCGGTTTGCTTTCGCATTGGATCATTGCGATATCAATCGGGGGGTTTCCAGTTTCTCGCATGTAACATCATTCCAGTTACGTAAGTTGTAAATACCTTACTGCCCAGTTTATACGTTGTTTACACGATGAGAAATACGGATCGACCTCTTCATGCCACCGGTGAAACCAGAATAAAAAACATTTAATTTCCAAAAAAGATGAGCAATGACCTAGGGCGAGTTTTTTAATCACGTGACCAAAGAATCAATTCGCCTTTAATTTATTCACCAGGTGTGTTGGTAACCTTAGTTACGATTAAAGGATACAGATTTATATTTAGAATTCAGGTGAAATGAAGTCACAAAATCATCGGAAGAAGAGATCATCAAGGTGGAACTATATCTATGAACCCAATCGCTATTCCTAGATTTGGCCGGTACGCGTTATCTCGGTGGTATTACAATGGCTATCGATAACTCTTCCTCCCTCATGTACAAGGCCCTGGTTTTGCTTTCCATTTATACAAATGGCAATGCTTCATCGCGATATTCAAACAAATTCATCTCGTGTGACAATGCTTCTTCTTAGATAGTGACCACTTCGTCTTTATTCATATTTTTATTTCTTTCTTCATTAAAATTATTAAACATTTACAACCTGCTGATGTGAGTAAACATTACTTTCACTTATTTCATCTACCCTTGACTGCAAAAAAAAAAGTTTACTACTTACGCAAAAATTGAGACATTTTAGAAACTTGTGGTCTACGATACCGTTACCAATCACATTATTGCTTTACATTTCCCTCCAATTTATTGTATAAACATTGATTATCATTAAGACAATAGACATGGGTGTATATAGTAGTTATAATTAAAAGGGTTCTAAGCGGTCAGATATGGTAATTTTAAAAGCAAATATTTAGTTCACACATCTGATACTAATAAAATTCTGACCCATAGGACTTGGAGTCATATTACACTTTTCCTCTTACCTTTGCCACCCCATTTTCGATACTTGCACATTTACGTTGGGGTGTAGGGTCAGAGTACATTCTCTTTCGAAAAGTTGGTGTCGGCATAAGGTAGCCTTTTATTAGCCGGCCTATAGCTACCATGTGTAGCCTCAACTTATTTTGTTGTGGTTGAGGCTACGAACTGATCCCATATCATGTCATGGAGCAAAACAAGAAACATCCTCACTTAAGTCACAAACACAATTAGTTTAGAAATCTACTAAATTAGTGTAATCATTTTGTCAAAGAAGTTTGGCTTATTTTGAACTTATTAAGCCCTTACACGGTAAAATAAATTGGCATAGTTATGCGAACCGCACCGTGTCCACCATGACAGTTAACGCGAGACTCTCGCCGAGACCCCTTTTCTACATAAGGCTCGTCAGACAATATATGGATATTCTACGCTATGGTATTATTTGTTGAATGACATAACGCGAGAAGATGGACACTTGCATAAATTAATGAATATGGTTTTGTTGAGAAAGTAATTGCTTCTTGGTGGAATTTCAAAGTCTCCGGTAAACCCTATTTACTTTTAATGCGCAGAATTTCTGACTCAAACCGCGCCATATTTTTTTACTACGATCTGTTTACGTTTCCAAATAAGGCATTAACGTCCTTATATGGCACACAAACAAACGAGGCTGAGAACGGGGGTAGGCATTTTTTGAACTAATATGGCGGACGATCGAAACAAAAATATCGGATAAGAAAGGTAAACGAGATTTTACCACTATTTTTACTATGATTTGCGACTATTCCAGTACTAAATAAGAGGACTACTCAATTTATTTCATAATATATATATATATATATATATATATATATATATAAAATAATGTTCAAAATTTTTAATATTAGGCTAAAAATGTAACACACATAGACTCATGTTAGTACCTCGTCCACAAAAGGACTAAGGTACTATTATTAGTACTAGCTGGCCTCCTAGCAAACTTTCACGACCTTTCATATATATATATATATATATATATATATATATATATATATATATATATATATATATATATATATATATATGGGGGTGCATGAAATCAACAGGAAAATGTTTTTTTTTTTTATCAGAAAAAGCGAGTGAAGCATTCGTTTTATCTTTAATTCGCTGAGAGACGTTATTTAACTATTGCGTTGATGAAATTTGATCTGTAATTCGCCATTTGTATTCCGAGTCACAGGACTACACAAATCTCGTAATTTACGTGTCAATGACATCAGAGGTCCAATAGTCACGTGATATAAACAATAAACCATTTCGAAAGTTGTTGTACATAGAATTCGAAATATTAATTAAACGTCATGTAGCCTAGTGGTTTATAGCGTCCGTCTCGGATGCGGGAGGTCGTGGGTTTGATCATCGGTCGAGTCATACCAAAGATTTTTACAAAAATGGTACTAACAGCTGCCTCGCTTGGTGCTCAGCATTAAGAGGTTAGTGTTATAACTGGTCGTCATGGTGTCAGGATAATGTGACTGGGTGGGACATCATACTACATGTCTGCGGCATGATGCCCCAGTGATAGACATCACTATAAACTGCCACACGGCAGATATCGTAGGGATATGACTAAAAAATTGTTAAAGCTAAATTAAAAGTCCAAATCACATCAACCACACTATTAAAAGTCACGTAATACTTTCACATAAATATAATGCACACATAGTTTTCAACATATTTATTCTGAGAACAACGACTAGACACCTGTCGGTATCGCAGTTTGGTGGAGAAAACCAAATTCGAGTACTAAGCAGTGCAAGCAAGTGTCAGCGGTGCATTTTTTTTTTGTTGGTATTACGTGACTTCCGCGTTGTCCTGTGCTCTCCGCTTATTCAATGTGTGGTTATTTTTTATGCTGCATTAACATTTACCAATTTCTGGTCATTGTTTCCAGAATAAATAGTTTTAGAAGTTTATGTTCTTTTATTTTTCTATAAATATTACGTTGCTTTCATTTATTTGTTCGATTTTGTTTTACTACAGCAACATTCAAGTGACAATTCACCTCAATCCAAGTAAACTGGTTTGATAAAAATATTCTATGGAGACAAAAAGTGCTATAAATGTCACCAAAATGGCCATGTTTGCGTCATTTTCTCGGCAGAAAGAAACAAAATCGAGCAACCTATTTTTGTTCAGAATGCCGTTGGTGAACGGTTAATAAATTTATTGGAAACAGTGAACAACAAGAAAGTAGAATGGAAGGAGAATGCTCCAACGATGTGTCCAACAATTGTGACTGATCCTTTTGTTCAAATTGTGATCGATATCGTTGGCCCACTACAGTGCACAAAGGCCGGGGAAAATATATACTAACCATCGTAAATGAAGCCACCAAGTATCCTGATGCAATTCCTTTGAAAGACATTTATGCCGAAACAGTGGCCAACGCTTTAATTGGCCTATTAAGTCGGTTGGGATACCTAAGATTATCCTTACAGAACAAGGGACCAACTTCACACAAGTACTTTTCTAAAAGAAATTTACAACCTGTTGAACATCAAAGAGATAACAACCTCTCCTCACAGGACATAATCCAATGGAATTTTAGAAAGATTTAATGGCACACTCAATACTGTTTGGAAGAAACTGTTTCCACGAACGGTGAAAAGTGGGATGTGATGCAGATTTTACGCACTGAGGCAACTGGGCTTTCACCGTTTGAACTGCTGTATGTTTGGCCAGTAAGAGCGCCGATGGAGATTCTTAAAGATCTATTCGCTGGTGAGGGTGAGACACAGAAGTCAGTTGTAGAACACGTGCTTTCGATTCGCTAAAGATTGATGGATGTGAGTTAGTGAAAAACAATCGGACAGAGTTTCACAAGAAAGCTAAATCATTATACAACACAAATGCAACCAAAAGGAAAAGTAGACCGGGAGATGAGCTTTTGGTTTTGCTTCAATCCGATGCATTGAAGATGAACGCTCACTGGAAGGAACGCCGTCGTGTCATCCATAAAGTCAATGACGTACATTAAAAGATTAACATTGGTGGTATGCGAGGACAAGTGCCTTACAATGTTAACCTATTACGTCAGTACAAGAGAGCTCTACTGTACTCATCAACTGTGTGTGATGAATTTGATGGAGAAAGACGGATTGATTTCCCACTGGTTGATATGGATAGTTTCGCCAGCATCAGTCTGATGGCAGACTGACGAAAGAACATCGAGAACAGGTGTGAAACTTACTCTTTGAGTTTGAACACCTGCTAACTTCAACACCAGGCAAAGCGAACTTGATCACTCAAAGCAACATTTGAGCAATAACAGACATTCTGATCACGCAGATCATCGTATTCCCCATGCAAAAAGGACTAAGTCAGAGTTATAGTAGAGGAAATGTTACAGCAAGAATTGATAAGTTTTCTACAAGCACATGGAATTCACCAATTGTACTTGTGCAAAAGAAAGATGGAAGTCTGCGACTTTGTGTTGATTACAGAAAATTGAACAACATCACACACTTTGATGCCTGTCCTACACCAAGTATAGACGAACTGTTTTTGAGAAGCTGGGAAATGCAAAATATATTAGCAAACTCGACATGACAAAATTTTGCTGGCAGGTACCACTGTCTAAAGAAGCACATGAGAAATATGCTTTTGCGACTCCCTTTGTACTTTCTGATTTTACTGTTGTGACTTTCGGGATGCAAACTTTACCTGCTACATGTTCGAGCATGATGGACTTGTTGTCCCAATTACGTAATGTTTTATCTTACTTTGATGACATTATTATTTATGGTGAGACCAGGGACGACCACCTTCATGATCTACAAGAGGTGTTGGAGAGATTGCGTGAAAATAATCTGACAGTTAAACCTTCCAAGTATGACAGTGGAAAGGTTAATATTTTCTTGCCTTGGTCACATTGTTGGTGGAGAACAAATTAAATCAGACGACGCCAAAGTCAAAACTATAGTTAATTTCCGACTCCCGACAACAAAGAAAGAAGTTCGATCCTTTCGAGGAATGGTGGGCTATTATAGAAACTTCATCAAGAATTTCGCTCAGCTCTCTGCTCCACTTTGTATTATGACCAGGAAGTGACAGTCAAATCGTGTTACATTGGATGCGACAGCTGTTATGTCATTCAGTGACTTGAAGAAGGCACTTGTAAAGGCCCCTATCTTGATCAATCCTGTTTTCAAAGTTCGGCGCATTTATAAAAAATATTAATTAGAGGGAACGCTTGAATTTGTTACGTGCTGAAGTTTAAGACTGTGTTTTAGTGTTCATTCGTATCTGGCTTATCCGAATTAAGCCCCATGGGGTCATGTGTATTATATCTTGTGTATTAATTAAGTACTTTCGTGATGATTGATTTTAAGCGAGTCCAAAATGTTTGTCTCAAGTTTTGTGATAAATGTTGTATTCGAAATATGGAATTATTCAGAGAGTCATTGAATGCTTGTACTGTATATTAATTGATTGAATTCTAATTGCCAGGGTGATGCTAGAACGTTTAAATTTCAAGAAGTAAGGTAATTGCATAGGACTGTATACAGGCAAATAGTGACTCTTCAAATTTGCTTATCCATCCTTTATAATTTTGTTCGAAACCTAGTTTTCTCTTAAGGGGAGGGTGTTGCCATCATATTAATGCTTTACATTTCCCTCCAATATATTGTACAGATATTGATTATTATTAAGATAATTAACATGGGTGTATATGGTAGTTATAGTTTAAAGGAATTTTAAGCGGTCATATATGGTAATGTAAGAAACAAATATATAGTTCACACATAGGACACTGATGAAGATTTTGACCATAGGACTTGGAGTCTGAATTTGTCATCACCGTAAAAGCAAGAATTTATAATGTTAATGAATCCTTACTTTGTGGTTTTGAAAAACTCTTTCCGTAATTTTTTTAATATTATTGAACCCTTACTTTGTCTCGGCTTTGTGGTTTTGAAAAACTCTTTCCCTGATGTAAAACTACCTGTTAGGTATAAAGGCCAGTCATCTTGAACCTTAGTTTGGGTGAACATTAAAAATTGGTCAGGAATCTTATTTGTGTTAGATATTATTGTTTGCAAAGTTTGTACCCAGTAACATATACAAAACAAATTTTTTTAAAAATCAAATTCCATCTTTATTAAACAAATCCTTTCTCGGCTCAAAGTTATTTATATTCTCTGTTTCAGATTGCCTTGAGTGACTATCTCCCAGAATTAACATATCGCCGAATGTTGGCAAAAATCGAACATTATGATTGCCAACCATTGTGCATAGCAGAGGTATTTAATCCTGATCAAATGTGCATTAAAAATTTGGTAGATGTTGTGTACTGTGTTTAAATATTTTTTCGATATTATTTTTAAAGTTCATTCTAACTTATATCGATGACATATCTGAACAAACAAATCTGATTTTATATGATGCTGAACGCTAATCTGTCGGCGGGCTTATCGATGGTCTGGCATTATATTAATTGATTTTAGTAGCATAGTTCAGTGCAGTCACTCGCGTCATAACTCGGTCGGTAACCATTCCATTGGTTGCAGGTAATAAGACCAGGAGGTACTAAGGCCAATTGACATGGTGGATTTATTTATTGAGTACAAAGGAATGCATGGACGAATCAGTTTGATAGTAACAGTGACGTTTCCCAAACGCGTGCAAGCAGGTGTGAGATTACAAGTGAAAGGGGGATATTTTGTGATTTATTTCTTTTCGTACTGCAAACCGCGTGCCTCCCAAGTTCCCCAGCTGCGATCATTCTTGCATCCGTCTTTCTGCGAGCGGCGGCTGAGGGAGACCGAGAGCATTGGAGGTATGTATAAACGGGAACGGGGCTTAAAATGCTCTAAAATGTTTAATATACGGGACAAATATTGATACATTTAGCAGCCTATAGTTTAATGAAGTTATTTGTCAAGTAAATCAAAGGACCAGCAACAATGGATTGTCATGTATGTATGTATGTATGTATGTATGTATGTATGTATGTATGTATGTATGTATGTATGTGTATATATATATATATATATATATATATATATATATATATATATATATATATATATATATATATATATATATATTGAGAGAGTGTATATTTATGGCATAACATGTCTTTACTACATTGCATATTTACAAGAATTAACGATTCCCAACTTTGTTTTCAGCTATAATCGTTTAACATTGCCAAATTTACAATATTTCCGAATAACAAACTAGAAAATCTTTCCAACTCGGGGAAAATTTCTTGTATAGTCGTTGTTCGAAATTTAAGTAGCGAACATCAGGTTTTCTTTCAGGACGGAAAAAGTGAGTCCAATACAAAAAGGATGAAGTCGTACTGGTAATTGCTTCTGCGGGTTTTTGTCGCACTTTAAACGCATTTTGGGCTTCGTCATTCTAAAGAAATC